CACAGGCAGGAGCTCTCTCGTTGAGGAGCTATCTTCAAGCAGAGATAGGGTGGACTGTATAGGTGTGTTGTGCTCCATGGTGTGGATCAGTAGAAGGTCTGTTAATACAAAGGCTGGTAAGAGTCCTGTCACAGAGCCTAGCAAACACCCCAAACCACCCCAAACTCTGGTTGGGACCAGCAACAGGCCAGTGTGGGGAGGCTCAGATGTGGCTGGAGGAGGGTTGCAGTTTGGTTGGTGTCAGATTTCAAAGTTCTGGATGCCATTTGTACTCCACCCTGGGCAAAGGGAATCAGCAGCACTGTTATCTGCAGAGCCAAAGTCTTCCTCTGGCCAGATTATTGATGACGTACAAAGGATCATATTCTTTACCCAGTAGTAGGAGAATCTTGGCAGGAAGGGAGCAGCACACATGGGCAGAAAGCAGCCAGGCTATGCCCACGGAAGACTGGCTGGGACACCAGTGGCTTCCTAAGATGGCAAATGCTACAGGCGGGTTTGTTCAACACCGCGTCCAGTCCCTGCGACCTGGCCCCTGTGTGTCCTGAGCCGGAGCCATGCAAATCCCATATTCATCCTGTCTGTGGATCTGGGTTTGCCAAGTACTCTAAACTCAGCCAAGCCTCACACTCCTGGGCCGGGAGGCGTCTCACAAGGTCTTTCTGGCTAAAAAGGCAGTAACCAGGGAAAGGTACTGTGTGAGTTGTACTGCTCTGGGACCCACACTCTTCTGGGTAGGCCTCTCCCTGACCCCCACTGGCCTCCAGATGCCCATCAACAAACCCACTGCAGGGATTCAGCTATCAGCACAGGAACCATGACCCACACAGTACTGCAGAGAGCAGAGCTTGAATTTGGCTCCGGATCTAACACACTGAAACCCACGTTAGAGAGAATCTGGGGAAGAAGTTCGTCTGAAGTTGGCAAAGAGGCTTCCTGCTGTAGGGACAGTCCTGTTGACTCTTACTGCAGAGCTTGTCCCGCTGAGCCCCTGCTGATCCTTGACTTCCCGCCTCCCGCAGAATGCCACTGCTCCTCAGTCACGGACGGTTTTCCCTGGAAGGACCTCAGGCCATGTCTGGCACATCCTGGAGGGCAAAGGACATCCAAGTGTCCCCTGGCAGGTAGAGGCCCAGGACACTGCTGAATCTCCCTCAGCAAGCAGGACACAGCCCACCACACAGTTAGCTGCCCCCAGAAGCCAGTTGTGCAAAGCCTGAGGGGCCTGCTCCAGCAGGCAGCAGCTGCCCCAGTCCTGCCCACCCTGGACTGTGCAGAGCTGTCCACCTGGCGAGGCAGAGCTCCACCAAGCTGCCCATTGGACTGTGACCTGGACCGTGCGGTGGCACTTCTGGCCCTTCATGCCTAGATCCTGACCCGGCTCATTTTCCACCAGAGCACATCCCTGGTAACAAAGGGCCCCGCCAGGGCCACCGCCCCAGCCAGCAGGCCACCTCCACCCGACAACGCCCCTGTCTGCCAAGGCACGTCTTTGCCTCCAGTCCTGTAGGCACACCAGCCACAGTACTGTGAGCGCATGCCCCACACCTGCTACATCCTCGTGAGACTGCTGCCCAGCTCCCAGGTCAGTGTGCTTGGTGCAGTTCCTCCAGATCCATCATACCGCAAGACTGAAGTGGGGTCTGCCTGGTTCACTGTTTGATTTAACAGTAAATCTTTAGATTTGTTACACAGCACAAGAATTAAACACACACAGAGAACTAACAGGCACTACTGGAGACGTGACATGAGAAAACAGCAAGTGTGCTACTGGCCAGATCTATAGCAGAACAGATGCTTCATGAAACCTCAGCTCAGCTGTCTGAATCCATCAGAAAGCCAACAAAAGGCTCACCGCAGGAGAAAGAAGACAGGTGCTGCAGAGGGAGGGTCTGGGCATTCATCACAGAGAAATACGGTGGGGGATTCGGGGAACACCTCAAATACTTATGGGAAAACACCGTGATTTACGGAAAGCTCCAGCCTCCATAGAGAGGCTTCAACCCGAGCACACAGGAGTTGACCCAGCCAGGTCAGCCCTCGGACACCCTCACCCGTGGGAGGGGGCTGCAGCCCACCACCACCCCGCTGAAGAGCGTCCACAGGGACACTCGTGTGCTCATGAGGTAAGTCACTGACAAGGGATTTTTAAAAATATACAAGTTTTGACCAATGTTCTTGACATTTCTGAACAAATGCTTCAGGAAACACAGGGTGCCACTGCTCCAGGCCCACAGCATGGCTCAGGTGTGTGGGGAGGCCAGCGCTGGGTTAGGGGCGACTTACAAGCCAGCCTGGAGGGAAAGGGTCAGAGACACCTGTAGGAGTCTGAAGGAGGCTGTCAGGACGCACCCACCCAGGACTGCATGGGACACAAGCTGGCTCTGGCAGATGGCTGCTGAGCGGGCAGCAGGAGGGCCCACCCTCCACTGACAGTGACTCGGTAGCTGTGGAGCCAAGGACAATTGGATGGGGCAGATGAGCTGAAAAGAAAAGGTGGGTAGAGTTCTAGGGGTAAGGAGCTTAAGGACAAACCCGGGCCATGGGGACCACACCAGGCTTTAAGCCACGCAGAGCCCAAATGAGACCAGCATGCTACACACTTCCTCCAGCTCAAGAGCTGACGTAGGGAGACAGGCAGCCCTGGACGGGCAACAATGTGAAAGAGAGCTCGTCAGCCATCCAACAGAGGGACAGACCCAACAGAAAGAGCGGCAGGAGGGTGAAAGGAGGGGGCAGTTGGGAAATATTCACAACTGCTCCAAAGAGATTCAGGACATCAACTGACTGCGGGTGGCTTCAAAGGGAGACATTCTTTTAATAGTGCAAATTTTTGGTGTGAATGACTAAATAAATGATGCAAAGATGTGATATGAAATGTCAGGAAAAAACAGGTTTCAATGAAACGACACTGAACTGTTCTGGACGTGAGCTTGACTTGCTGCATAAACAGAGGGCAGCAGAAAGTACTGCCCGGAGCTTGGGGGAGGGGACGGCCGCAGACACAGCCTGGGCACACGCACCTGAGGCGGGTGCCACAGCCCAGGGTAAAGACCGCGCAGGGACAAGTGCCGAGGAGGAGGGGCCCCTCCACAGGCCGTCCAGAGCGCAGCAGGAAGAACCAGGCAGGGTCCCTCAGACATCAGATTCCAAGCAGACAAGGCAGTGTCCACCACCCTAGGGAGCAGCCACCTGCAGAAGAGGGCGGAACAGGAGGCCAGCACTGAGGGCCCCTGGGCCGGCAGTACTTCCTGCGGACAGACAGGGAGGGCAGACACCCCAGGCTATGCCAGGGTGTGGAGGAGCGCGTCGTGAGCTTCCTCCAAGTCGAGCACAAGTCCTGGCCACAGAGGTGCTAACTCTGTGACCTGGGCAAGCCTCCTCTACCCGAGCTCATTTCTCAGCTGCAAGAGGGCTCATAAGTGGCTACCTACTGTCCCGTGGGGATTAAGATAGTGACACAAAGCTTCCAGGGCCAGGTTTTTGTTTTAATATTTATTTTTTAGTTGTAGTTGGATAATACCTTTATTTTACTTATTTATCCTTATGTGGTGCTGAGGATCAAACCAGGGCCTTGCCCATGCAGGGCGAGCGCTCTACGGCCGAGCCGCAACCCCGGCTGCTCAGGTCCAGAGTTTGACACATGATAAATAACCAAGAAAGAACAATCTGCAAGTACCCTCACACACACACACACACACACACACACACACACACACACACACACGCTGAGCAGGAAGGGACCAGTGAGAAAGAAGTGGGAGAAGGTGGCACGCGCTTCCCACAGGGCCCAGTGTCACAGAGGATGGGCCGGCACCAGAGGATGTCTCTTCTGAAGACAGCTGACGCCCCAGGAGGACTAACTCATGAGGGACTCTTTCCCCAGGAAGTACACGGTCCAGAGCATCGCCTGCGTGTGCTGGGAATGCCGGTGCCCTGCAGAGCTCTCCGGCCCTTCTCCAGTCTCTGGACACTCCGGGCCTGAGTCATCTCGTGTGTTCACACAGAGCCCTGTCCACCACAGGTGGTCACTGTGTGTGAGCAATGCCCTCCCCAGCATGTCTTGCTTCCCAGAGCCTCTGGGAACCATAACTCCTCCTGGCTCCAGATTCTCTCTACTTGAGAACTGTCCCTCCTCAGTGTGAAGACACAATGAGGGGTCTATTGTTACCTGTTGGAAGCCCAGGAAACCTGGGACCATCAGACCTGAAACAAGCTAATATTGGCTTCAGCCCTGTCCACTCAAGCTGGGTGCCACAGCAGCCCTCTCATGAAGGGAGATGCATGATGATGTAACCTGACACCAGAGCCCTCGGTCCATCACCTCTTCTCTCCTCACCTCTGCCCTGAAAGGCAAGATTCTCCTCTGGGTACCATATTTCAAAGCAACCAATATTATCTAATAACAATTTTCAGGCAAGGCCATGGCTTTCTTGCTGTTATTACCAGTGAGGAGTCTTTGGTATGTAAATTTAAATCTTCCTAATCTTAACATCGATTGTATGATACAATTATGCAAACTACCTTAAAGAAATATATTCACTTTTGTTGAATGTTTACAATAACCTTACGCCAATTATCAACAAGAAGGATAAGTCTAACAATAAGAAAACACTCAAGAAAGAGTCCATATTTAAAAACCAACTTGTGTTCCATGAGATAGCCACACTGGTGATGCTGTGAGAGCTTTTCCACAAAGCTCCCAGGGCCAGGCTTTTGCTTTAATATTCATTTTTTAGTTGTAGTTGGACACAATACCTTTATTTTACTTATTTATTTTACAACACCTAGAAACATCCGCAGCCTCGGAGGCCAGCGGTGTCTGGCAGCCTCTCTCAAGGGCTGGTTTCCATAGCCACAGGGCAGCACCGTGACCCTGTAATGCAGGACCGTGGTGTCAGATAATGACCCCCCACTCTTTCAAAGCCCCTCCTCAGAACATCTATCTTCTGACCCTGAGGGCTGAATAATCACATCCAGGTCAGAACAACATGCCTTACCTGGTAGAGCAGTGGCATGGGAAGGGTCCCCATAGTGTCCGTGATGAGGAGGAGAAAGGCCGATTCCTGGCTGGGACTGAGAGTAAGGAGGTGTGGCCACATAACCTTGTCGGCTCATGGTGAAAATGTCATTCCCAAGCTCGTTCTAGAAAAGAGCCCTGCAACCGAAAAACACTTATCAACAAATATCCAAAATACAGACACTGCTAATAAGTGACAGTGTGAGCTTAGGCAGAAGGACCAGGTGGCACGTCACACCCTAAAGGGCAGCCAGAGTCCTCTGAAACTCAGGAGCATCACTTCAACAGTCGTGGGCCAATTCTCAGGCACAACACCTGGGAACATCCGCAGCTGCGGAGGTCTTCGGTGTCTGGCAGCCTCTCTCAAGAGCTGGTTTCCATAGCCACAGGGCAGCACCATCTCGTGCAACTGGCCAACCACTGGCTGCCGGCCGGCTGTAGCCACAGGCTTTCCAACTCAAATCTGTATGGTGCTCTTCTAACCAGCAATTATAACCTGGTAGTTCTGACAAAGAGAAGTCAGCCCAGCAGATACAGCAGAAGATAAAGTTGGTCATGGCCTTATTTTGTGAGTCATGATTTGGCCAAGCTGAGAGGCAGCTACACCATTTCAAAGTTACCAGTGGTTTCTCAGTAGAAGACAGAATTTCTTTCTGATTTAAACCATATCACACTTCTAAGAACATAGCATCTGTAAGAAAAAAAGTGTAATTTCATGTGTGTGTAGGCGTAAACACTCCCAAATGTAACAGAACCATCTCAAGTCTCTCGGAACCCCAACATTGGTTTGCTTTAAATTTTTCATTTTCCCAGGTTTTCACATAAGAGACAGTTCATAGGACTATTTTCAAAAAGAATTTTATAACAAGGCAGAAAGTGTTCTAAATCCTACCCCCAAAAAGTGAGTTTTCAATCCATGTCTGTTAATACTTAGCTGTGTGACATGGTATGGTTGAAAAACCCCTCCAGCCTCTGCTCTTTCAGAAAAGACCACCCCCCACCCCCCCACCCCCCAGTCCTTTTGAGATGCACAACACAACCCTGGCTCTGCAGTTTCTCTCCAGTCTCTGTACCCAGCATGGGCACGATGTTCCTTTTGCTCTTATTCAGTGCCTTTTAAGGTAAAGGTTGGTGATACCTGCTAAGACTTGGAATCTGTCTATGTCCAGGAATGACATTCAAATTTAAAATCTGAAGCCCAAAGTTGGTGATTTGGTTGCATTTTCAGGTTAAAATATAAGTTTGTAAAATCAAAGCAAACAAGTAAAAAATATGAGATGGCTTTGTTCTTGGACTGGCAGAAAGAGAGAGGCAACAGGTCTCTGGTCAGCTTTGTGGACCACCGCTCTTTCCCCTCCTCCCACACAGTGGAGAGAGACGTGGCAGGCTGGGCTTCCTTCCCAGGCTGTAGGAAGCAAGTGGCTGGATACACCCTCCAGTAGCCCCCAGCTGGGGAGAAAAGGGGGCAGGGGTGTTCTCTGGAGAGCGTGGAACCCCAGCCTCAGCTGGCCCTGGGAGGAATTGCTTCCTCCCGGCCCTTGCCACGTCAGACTTCCTCGTACCCCACAGAGTCCAGAAACCTGACTCAGCTTCAAGTGGCGACGTGGCAGAAAGCCACCTGGCACAAATGGCTTGGGGTCAAAACCTGGGCAGCTGCAACCCGGAGAGACCCCAGCCCCCTGCCTAGCCGTGTGCATCTCTCACCCTGGAACAAGATCGGGACTTGGTCGTGTTGCCATCCAGACTTCGTGAAGCTCAAAGATACAGTTGCCATTTCCACTAAGAACACCTCTAACGCGTTCTTCCTCCAAGAATGAGTAGTTAATAGGGGAAGAGAACGTCCAGCGATCACACTGGAGGACATGGCCACAGGACTCACCACGCAGCTTCCTCGTCCAAGGTACGGAGGGACAGGTGAAGTGCCCGCCCCCTGCCTCTGCTGGCCTCCAACCAGCCTGAAGACCACAGGCGGAGAGCGCCCCTCCCAGTCTGCACCGAAGTCCAGCGAGTATAGGTCCCTCCTATCCCTCCCCAGTGTCTAGACCCGGCCAGAGGACCATCAGACTGAGCCGATCTCTCCCCATCATCTCTAACTTGCCTGAGGACCAAAGGATGCCCTGCCATCCTTTCTAACCTGCCGGGGGACCACGGGCAGTGGGGTCCCCCGGCCCCCAATCTGTCGGAGGGCCACCGGCTGAGCGGGTCCTTCCCCTGGCCCCCTATCTTACTGAGGGCCATAGGGATGAGCGGGTCATTCCTCTGGCCTCCAACCTGACTGAGGACCGGCAGGATGCGTCCCTCCCCAGTCCCCAACTTGAGGACCACGGGGCTGGCGGTTCCTATCCTGGCCTCCAACCTGCCTGAGGACCACCGAGCTAAGCGGGGGTCCCTCCCGCCGCCCGCGAGCCTGGGCCGAGGGCAGTACCTGAAGCTCGGCTTCTCGTGCGGGCGACCGCTGGCCGGCGCCTTTCCTGTTGGAGTCTCCACTCTGCGCCCGAGCCGCGCGGAGCTGGACTGCCACGTCAGACCCGCGGCTC